CTCCTGGGCCCATCTCTTGGTGCGCCCGCCACGGGGCCGAAGCGCCGTGGCGGCGGCGCCCCGCCCCGCACCCGCGGGCGCGGCCCGCCGCAAGCGCGTTCAGCGCGTTCGGCCGCCGCTGTACATAGACCGCTGGAGAATGAACCCGCCCTTTTTTGCGGGCCGCAGGCTGATCCCTGAGGGGGCGCCACAAAGGGCCATCTGGAGGTGCCTGATTGCCAGGGCAAGGCACCCCTTGCCTGCCATCTACGCTCTGATCCACGCCCTGGCAATGCCCCCGTCGATGGGGCCGCATTTGAAACGACCGGCCGACAGCTCGCACGCCCTGGCCACACGTTGTGTTAGGGGTTTTGGGGCACCGCATTTGCTCGAGCGCGCGCGCAGACGCGTGGCCTGCTTCCCCTCCGCCAAGGCGCTGTGCTGTGTGCCTTACCCCACTCCGTCGAGCGCCCCTTTGTCATCGCGAGCGAAATGGAGGGCTTGTGGACCTGGATTCCGCATTTGCATCCCTTTCCACACGCACCTGAACAAAGACTGCGTGTGTGCGCACGCGCCTGCGGCGTGCCGCCGCGCCCCATCTTCGACGGGCTCCGCAGCGCACCCAGCCAAACTCTTGGCATGCCTGCAAGCCTCGTTCTGTGCATTTTCATTGTTTAATGTAAATACACGCACATTTACACCTCGTGATCGTGTGCATCGTCAGCGCAGCCAAGATTGATCGGGCCCGGTTAGCTCAAGCAGCTTGCGGAGTCCCCGTGTTTCGCAGGGCCACGGGCTTCTAGGACGGGATATTAACTTCTGTATACAGGAACATCGCACTCTCTGAGCGACTCTAGACAAGCGGGCCGGCACCAGGCCGGCCGCGGAGACTTCACTAGCTGCAGCAAAGGCCGCGCGCCGCCGCGCGCCCCATCCTGCGCGGCCGCCACAGCAGCGATGCTCGCCCGCCTCGTGCCGTTCGTGATGGCCCTCCCCAGGGCCTCGGCTGCCGCCAACTGCGCCATGCACACATACCGCGTCGGAGAGAGCACGGACATCCGGTGCGGGGCGAGCCTGATCGCGCTGACCTGGACGGCACGCCGCCTCCCCCCGCTGCCCCCCCCCAAACACACACACAC